TATTGAATGTTGACAGTCAACTTTATATTAACTGCATCAAAGAGTGGAAAAAATATAAAACAGCAAGCAATTGGAGATTTTTATATTTAAAACACATTGAATATTACTCACTTAAATCAGAATGTTAAGAGTGGTGCAGGCATGACACTCCTGTTTTCCTGTTGCTCTTTTTAGGCTGTTAAAAGCAAAATCTATGGTGATAGTCTCATAATTTTTTGTCTAACAAATGCTAATAATGATTTCTAATTACCTTTCTAAATTTCTATAAAGCAATATAATGAAAACAATTTAAATATTGTCTAGCTTTCATATTAATACATACATGCAAAGATATGTTTTTTTTTCTCAGGCCGTAAAGCCATACACAAGCTGTCTAAATAGATTGTAAACAGTGGTAACATTTTGCAAAATTATTATCTTGATTTTACATGACTTGTGAGCTGTCAGCTGTGGCAAATGAAAGAAGTATCAGTTACTTTTCTAAAGCTTTTTCAAAATTGTTTTGTGTTAAAAGGCTAAGAACTACAGTTCTGATTAAAATTTTCTTTTGTACACTTGAACTCCCTGCTTAGAATTGCAGCTCTTTTTTCTAATGTTTTATACTGATTGCTTTGCTGCAACAAAACACTTACACTTAACTGCACTAGTGTTTAGAGAACTGTATGCCTTCCTTCAACTCTTCTGCTATTTGATTAGATCTAAGATGACTTGGAGGCAGCATTTACTTTCTGGTAACATTTAAGAAGACAACTTACGATTTTGTAAGGGTTGGTGAAAAATCAATAATAACTGATGTTCTTGTAACATGCCTGCAGTGTGGAAGGTAAGTCAGTGGCAAAAGGTTATGTTCTTTGAATTAAGTGGAGAGTCTTGTATTATACACTAAAAGTGCTCACTTTCATGATAGGCAACAGTTTTGAAATATAACCTATAAGTTCTGTAAAATTTCACTGTTTTTCTGTAACAATCTGAATGGTCAATTGAAATCAGGATCAAGATATTGGGTTATAGTTTATAAAATCTTATCTGAAAATGTCATTTATCTGTCACAAAAGAAATATTCTAGAGCTGCTTTTTTTTTTCATGTCTTATTACTCCAAAAGTTGTATCTTAATGGTGAAAGAACACAAAGTTTAACTGTACAGAAAACAGAGACTGTACACAGGTTGGAACTGAAATGGGACAAGAAAAGTATTTCTATTAAAAAAAAAGGTCAAACATAAAGTATTCCTTTGTAAACCTTTTTGAACATGATTTTGCAATATCAAAAATATCAAAATTTCAGCTCGAAACTCTTCCTTATATTTCTCAGACAGAACCCAAAGAAGAATAAGGATCCAGGTCATGAACTTTTACATAGCCTTGAATTAATCTTTTTTAAAATACATAAGTGAGTGAAATTTGGGGGAAAAAAAAAGAAAAAAAAAGAAAAAGAGATGTAATATTTCTCTTATTCAGTGCTCAGTTACCAAAACAGTGGTACTGTCTGGGAGCTAATACTCTTTACTGTTTTCAGACATTTGATATTTTAAAATACAGAGCATATATAAAAAACTTAGTAAATGAAGTCATTATATCATATTTTAATACAATATATGCATATAAGTTCCCATGAACTTAATTTATACAAAATAATTTGCAAACACAGAATGGAAGAATTTTCTAGTTAAAATAATTATCTCAAAATTGTGTTAACTGCCTTTTTAGGACTGTCAATCTTGCCAACAATTCTCATTTAATGAGTTTTCAGATCCAGGTAAAATTCTCACATAAAATGTGTTGGCAAGTTTCTTGAGATCTCATTTTCAGGATATTTCAGAATATTGGCATCAAGTGCATGTATCTTCCTACCTCTCGGCTATTGATTGTAGTCCTGTTCCTACTGACATTACCTAAAAATTCATACCCTTTGGTAAGTGTTTGCAGATCTTTGAAAAAGGTTTTAGTGGATTGATGCATCTTAAGAAGGATTCACTCTGTTTTGGCACTCTTGTTAGGTGTCTTGGCAAAAAAGACAAATCTTGAAAGTGTTAAGTGCGAATGCACCATTTTTAAATTTAGAAGGATTTTGTTCCTCAGAATGTTTCAGTTAGGTCTTTGATTCCAGAGGTGAAAGCCATATAATGGCTGGAGGTCATGTAACGCTGAGAGTTGCAGCATTTACTTCTTAATGGATTCCCTGTGAAATTCCTGTCTTATGTGCTAGGTTTCCCGCATTGTGGAAATGCCAAGATCTGCAAGCCTTAGGAATTTAGTCTGTAAGCCATTAGGGAGTATTAAATTAAATCTTGCCCTTTCGAAAGATTTCAGGGCTAATTTCAGATTCATAATCATAACTGCAGTTCTGATGTTAAGCAACAGCACTTTCTTAAAAAAAGAGATAGTCTAAGAGAATTGAATATTTTCTTTCGAAGTATAGCTGGATAAGGAGTTACAGTTTTCTGCTTTGTACACAATGCTAAGCGAAGATATCTTATGCATGAAGATCTGACATATTACAGCTCAGACCATTCAATTAGGAATTTTAGCCACTTCATTCACACAGTGAAAGCCATAAGTTCTGTCTTGGATGTCAACCCAGTGTACCAGAACATTTTTAAAAGGGATTGCTAATGAGCGTCCATTGCAGAAGTCACTCCATGTAGCCAGCCAGAAATGATGAATTTTGTCTTGAACTTTGGCCTCTGAAGGACTTGTGCTTGACCCTGCACCAGAGCGATATACCTTCCTCTCCTTTGGATTCACAACTTAAACTTTTCTTAGTTGTAGGTGGTTAAATCCTTTCTGTCATAAATCGAGTAGGTGTCATATCTTTATTTCAAACTCAGCAGGAGAAAGGAATATTTGAAAGGAAGTGTATCACAGCCAGAGTAAGATGACCCTTTCCTTCCCACCTTCCCTTACGCATGCAAACGACTAGAGAAGAGGGCATTTGTTCAGGATTTGGGGGATTCCAGTTCAGTTCTAACCCATGACTGAGACAACTCATGTTTGTACTCTTTTGCACTGGACAGAATTTTACATAAACATATTGAAGTCAACAGTGAAACAGGAGCTACCTGAAGTCTTTCCTCTGCCACTGTGTGGTATAATCCCTAATCTACAGAACAGCCTGTGCTGCCCCTCTCTCACTTTCTCCTGCTCTGCCTCTGTTAACCGCTTCTGTGCAAAGTGGAACGGGATCAGTAGGTGGAAACTGCAAGTGTTTTTACCTTGCAATGGTCTAACGCCTGTAGGTTACAGCACTTTGCTGAGACACTGAAGCTTAAATCTCCTCCAGCAGAAAACACTGTTGAATTGATGCTCTCAAAGGTGTCTCACATTCAGCTCTAATGCTCCAGCTGATGAATAGCTGCACAGAAGAAAGTTGTAATGTCTGCCACGTGTCCTTCTTTAGCAGTTGCCACTTTTTTTGAGGAACTGGATTTGTTAGGTCCTTTGAGAGCACACCTACTGAATTGATGACCTTACACATGGTGAACTTGAGTACGTACGAACTCTGGTGGGATCGAGGACTAAGCCAAGCACCAATGTGTTTAGCAGAATTTCTACTGACTGTGGCCAAATGACGAACCTATAAAGTTTAATGTGGAAAACTGAGTGCCTTACTGCTCAGAGTGCCTTCAGTCCTGGAGGTTGGAAGGTGAATGCAGATTTTGATAAACACAGTTTCAATTTAGGCTCCCAAAGAACTAGGTAGAGTGAGGTGCTTAAATATTTTCTGGATCTAAGCTCCAAACTAGAGGTTTGTATGAATAATGAAGATGTAACGGTTTACAAATAAAGCAGAGTTCTTGATTGGAGAGATAAATTAGACAATCATATATTGACTGATGATCTACCACTAATCAGACAAAATCAAACAATGATCAAGAGAAGAGATATTTACAGTAATTCCAGGTGCTCTGTCTTTTTTTTTTTTTTTTCCTCTCCAGTTGCTCTCCCTGGACTGGAGATTAGTTACTAAGAAAGCAAAATGCAAAGGGCTAGATTATACCTCAAATTTGCTTTGGGTGAGAGCAATTGTCAGAGGCTTGTCATAATATCTCAGGCTCTGGGATGTTATTTAGTTAATACACTTCTCCACTGGAGAACATTTAAGTTAAAGTAAAAGATAAAAGTCATTAATTCACAGACCTCAAAACTGAGGCTGCTCTTCTTCCATATTTCATCCATACTCCAATTCTCACACTGAGGAGAGGCTAATTGCTCACCACAGTGTTAGCAGTCGAGCATTCAGTCAGACTGAGGGAATAAGGGAGATTTTATATTACTTTTCAAAATTCTTGTTCTGTAAAATGGAAAAAGGGCTTTGAGGATCTAGCTTTTGATGAAAACATGTTAATAAACTCTTTTTCTCATAATATACTCTTCATAAGGATCAATTAAACTGAATATTTTTTGCAAATGTATACTCCACAAATGATAGTAGTGGAAGACGTGTTTAGATACACAAGATATTAAAAATAATGGAATAGATCTTTGTTTTCAGTAAGGGGTCTGCATTTTAACAGTATTTAAACATTAATTTAGGTAAACTTCCTACACTAAGGCCTGTTGTTTTTTTGAGGAACAGCTATTTAAATCATATAGAAATGAAATGTATTATTTTTTTAAATATGGGCAAGGAGATTTTACTGAACACCTAATATACATGTTACATTCAGATGCTATCCTGTAAGGCTAAACTATGTTAACAGAACATCTGTTTGAAATATTTTTATGATGTATCATATGCATCCATAGTCAGTAGCTGCCAGATAAATAATTGTAGAGACAAGGTAATTTTTTTCACTGAGTCATCACAGCTTGATAAGTCATTTTAATTATTATGTGATGCATATTTAAAAGACAACAATTTGTTATAAGCTCCAGGCTGAGACAAAGCAAACTTACAAGACTGACAAGACTGTGCCAATAGAGTGAATCTGCTTCTAGTCATTGTAGCTAAACATTTCTTACAGCTGCTTTTTTTCTTCTTCCTTTATTTCTCTCTGTAGAGGTCCTTCTGTAGTGCCATGGTAGAGGAGCTAAGAATGTCTCTGAAGTGTCAGCGTCGATTAAAACACAAGCCACAGGCCCCCGTTATTGTGAAAACAGAAGAAGTTATCAACATGCACACGTTTAACGACAGAAGGTTGCCGGGTAAAGAAACCATGGCATAGAGCTGGGAAGTCAAATACCCCAAGCACAAACTGTCGTCTTTTTTCCAAACAACCTTGCGAGAATGTTTCCTGTGGAAATATGCAACCTGTGCAAAATAAAATGAGTTACCTCATGCCGCTGTGTCTATGAACTACAGACTCTGTGATCTCAGCAGTTGCAATGGCCAGACTCGAATCACAAGCATCATGGATCAACCAAGTTATGCGGGGTTACACTGTTCGTCATGGGTTTCCACCATTCTGAATGAATGAATGTTCCATGTAAGTTTTGTGGCTGGTTTCAAATGCAGTCTCAGTGAGAAATTACAGGTTCCTTTTGAAGTTCAACGGTTGCCAGGAGATGGAGAATAAATGTCCGAGACGATACTAACCATGAAAGGAGTCTAGTAAAAGTAATATCTCAGAACTGTAGTGGAACAAGAAACCATATGTTCTTCCGAACTTCCAAGCATAGAAGAGTTGGTAACTGCTGGTAGACTGAAACTACCATCTGGACAGGCGATATGAGCTTCCTGGATGGGAGGAAATGTTAAAGTGAAGAAATTGAATCCCATGAATAGAAGGATAAATACGAGGATGCTCACCTGCTTTTTGGACTGTCTGTGTCACTGAACTAAGTTAATAAATAATAATTAAAAAAAAATCAGTAACTTAAATTTACCTGGGCTGGAACTTTGATCTAAAAAAACAACAAAAAAATTCCATAATTTTGACCCAATTTTTAGATGAATGAAAGTTTCCTTAGTACAAAGGAATGTATCTTACAACTTTAGATATAAGCAATTACTTTTTTTCTTTAATTGTGAAAAGAGGGAGGGGGGTGGGAAGCAGTGTATTTCACACATAGAGGGCTTGCATTTTAGCCTGAATGGGTTTTGAAACCCTTGTTCCTGCTACTAATTGAACTCAATGGAGCCTGTGCAATTCTCGCGAATATTGGAAGTGGGATGGGTCACCTAAAAGAAGTGAATGTGGAGAACTTTAAGGAGGACTGCATTTTTCAATACAGTCACAGTACTAAATGAACAAAATTCTTGAGCAGTTTTTTTTTAAAAAAAAAAAAATGTTCAGGTTTATTTGTGGAAATGCAAGATTTCTATGAAAATAGTTTTTGTATGGAAATTTTTGTAATACTTTTTATCAACAAAATAAGAACATGTGTTTCTGTCAGGGGTGTGATGCCAAGCATGAATGGTAGTGCGTGTGCACCACCAACGTTTGGTGAAAACTATTTTTATCAAGAAAAAGGAATCTTAGAAGAGACATATTTTCAAGTTAGATAATATAAAAAATAGGTGCACTACCACCACTGCTTACCATGCTACACCCTTGGTTTCCACTAGGCTGATAACATGCTGTCATGAACAATTGTGTGTAAATGGTAAAAGACACAGACCTCTTGACCACATTGTGATAAGAGTTAAAGTGCACTCAGTTTGCTGTTTGAATCCAATGCACAAAATTAAAAAAAAAAAAACAACATTAAAATTATGTCAGTTTTAGTTGTTTTATTTTTGCTGTGTGATTTAAGCAATGTATGTACAGTACTTTGTGTCAGTACTGGTACTTAGGCTCAGCTTAGTGCCCTATCCTGCCAATTCTTGCCACTAAACACGTGGCCAGAGACTTTGCTGGGATTTCTGAGAGAAGCCAGTATAGCACATTGTGATAAGTTTTTGCAGGATCTGGCTCTTAATTGCTTCAAAGCTAATTTATATGTTCTGCCTGTGGTGAGTTGCTGGACATAACATTTTGGAATACTGCCCTACAGATGCTGAATCTTGCACCTCCATCTACTGTAAATTTGTATCATCTCAACTAAAAATGTGTAGGATGGGCTATGTAGGAATGTTATGTCAACCAAAAAAAGATTATGAAGGTGGTCTTTATATGGAAAATAATTAATTTGGCTAATTAAAAAAAAAACAAAACAAACTTTAAATCATCATAGATAATCAGTCATTGGTGAGTAATGAGATAATTTGTTTACTGGGGTTTAATTTAATCTTATCATCAACTTTCTAGCACAGGAGTATAAGATATATCATCCAAATTGTAGAAAATATATCATGAAATATGGGGGGGAAGAGGGAGGTTTGTGTCTACTACCCAGTTCTCATAAATTTTCATAGAGACTGAGCTGGCCACTTCCATTGTGAATAGGGACTGAGAAAGCAAATTCTCTTATATTTGTGAGATTTTCATCCCAATTTATGCGATAACAAAGAACAGGTTGTCTTTGTTTGAAGTATAAACTAGATAAAAACACCTTCAGCAAAGGTTCTGAAAATGAATATACTTACGTAATACATATTTAAGTTTACGTTAATTCTTTAAAATACAAAGGGAAAGAAAGTAACTCATACAACACAATGAAAACTCCTAATTATGATGGTATGGAATGGAAAAAATAATTGGCTATTGCATTTGATTGATGATTTACAATAGAGTTTGTAAAATCATGTAATAAAATACTGTATTATATTCAAACAAACCTTTCTTTTCTCCATTAAGGTTGTTGAAATAAGCAGGAGCTCCATTCTCACCTTGGTGCGCATGACTAATTCTCATTAAGATTTATGTGAGCCAAAATAAGTGTGATTGCAGAATATGTCCCAAATATTTTATTGGGCCAAAATCCTCCAAGAAACAAGAATCCTAATGCAGTAGTGTGGCTTAATTAAGATTTCAGTGAGAATTTCAGCCTTCCATTACTAAGGGAAATATGCAAATTAACTGGACAATTGTATTTAAGATTGAGACTAGAAATGCATGGCTCCACAGATTCATAGTAGGATAACGGCTTTTTAAAAAAATTATACACTAATTCGTCCTGTTACTTTGTTGTGCATTAGTAATTATTTCTGTATTTTTCTCAGAAAATTAAGACATTTAAGGAAAAATGACTAACAAAGAGTTGACTGTCAAAGTAGCAGAAAATAGTACTGGTAGTTTTGTACCCCAGAAAGCTCAATGATTCATTTTCCCTTTGCTGTTATGAAGGAAATCCTCTATTCTGAAGAAAAGTTCCTCATTTTGAAAGGCCTCTGAATGACTTAGTCCCAAAAGGTCATGTAGTATAAATTTCTATAGTGTCATTAAAGTAAATGGAACTACACCAGCTAAAATCAAGTGAGTACCTGGCCCATGAAGATTCAGAATCTGTATATAACTGCTTTATGTGGTTTCTTATTAGTGTGTTGATTTCCCAGGACAGGATGATGGGTGCTTCTCTGACTGACCTTGAATGTCACTCTAGAGAAGACTTTTAAAGCAGTTATAAATCAGTTGTATGGTGCTACCTGGTGGATGAAAATTGGAGGTAAAAACTGAACGGGACTTTTTTTTTTTTTTTTTTACTGTACCTGTTTCAAGAAAGATAGGAGTCTATAATCTTTAAGGATTCTCAAGATCTTAATTTGGGTGTTCAGGTTGCCTCAGTATGGTTATATAGCAATGGATAACTATGCGGATATTACAGAATAAATGACACAAAAAAAAAACCCCAAAATTTTAGCTTTTTGAGAAATGTCATTAGTGAAGGACTGGTAGTGGAAATTCTGAGCCAAATAGTTGGATGAAATCAAGAGATATGTGGTGCTTTATAGTAAATGAAGATTTGGCCCATTATAGACATCAGCAGGCCATTTAATAGTATTCTCCTATACACAAATACAAACATATCCAGGGAGTATCTGACAGTTTTTTTATGAGATATTACTTTCTGAAGTTTCTATCTCAATTTTTCGTTGAAGAATTCAGTATAGGTTTGAAAGAACCTGTTATTTCATGTTTATATTACTTGAGGCTCTGTGTAATAATCTTTCCTGGTTTCATCCATAGTCTTCCAAAAAACCAAAATAACACTGTTTAGCCCTACTACACTAACTAGTTAATATTTCAGAACAGAAAAGACATAATTTATGAAGAAAAAAACCCACCAAAATCCAAAGCCTCCAATAGAAGTAGGAGAAATGCCCTGATATTCTACAAAATCAAAATGTTTTCAGGGAAAAATGGTTATGAACAAAGATAACAGGATACAAAGAGGTTAAAATGCTATAAAATAATTTTTATATTATTAATATATTAAGGATATTAGAAAAATATTTAAAGTACTTTAGACACAACTTCACTCTAGTCTCCAAATACACTAGAGTCCCCAAATACATCAACAATCACAAAATATGATGATCGAAATGCTGACTACTTTGAAAGCAGTGTCAAAACTCCTACTTCAAAGAAATCAAGATTTTGTCCAATACATCCCCAAATGTGTACTGATACAATACAATACTGATAGAATATTAAAGGCAAAATAAGAGCAATTGTGCTTTTTGTCATATTTTCAAAGATGTGTAGGAAAAGAAAGGGTCACTGAGGTTGACTTGTCTGACATCCAAGATCATTGCTTTCCAACCTCAAGTATGTTAGTGTTCTGTTCCTTTCCAGTCTTGCCTTTTCTCCTTCCTACAAGCACCTCTGACACTTTCAAATTAATTTTCAAACCCCTTTTTATTTGGCTTTACTCTAAAATGTAGTTCTGATTAAAAATAAAATTATTCAAGCACTTCATCTCCCCAGTTTGTATCCACCAAGATAAACACACTAGCTTTTCATGTGACTGTAATCTAATTGTCCTTCTCTTCATTTAGTACCCCTCTCTGTCCCCTTCCTATGTTATCTCCTCCTGTTGTTCTTGTACTTGCCTAGACTGTAAGCTCTTAGGGGGCAGGGAATCTGTCTTTGATTTGTTCTATGTAGCACCATGAACTATGGAGCTATATAAATAATAAAAAAGTAGATCTTCTTAAATGTTGTTTGAAGTGATAGTGATCTGATTGACTGCCAGTCTAGTAATATATCATTTTAGCTCATTGCCTGAAATCCTAATCACTAGAGCAATAGAATAATCAAAAAAAAAACCAAAAAAACAACCCAAAGGCATGATGACACCACCTCATCTTACTGGAAATTTCCCTACATGGTCGGGGTGTAGGAATATAGAACACCATGCTCGCATAGCTTCTATAAAGGTTTTAATATGAAATCAGCTACATTAAAAATGGAGAAAGTAGGTTAACACATAAAAAGAAGGGTTATATGCACGATGAACTTTGTGAAAGAAAACTTTTAATTGGTTTAAGCTGGGAAAAACTATGATTAAGCAATTTGTTATGTTGAACACCAGGCACCTTGCCTTCCTTCATTGTGTCTGCCCACTGAGATCAACAAGCCTCTCATTGTCAAAAGCTATGCCAATCCCATTTTATTAATTATTTTATGGACATCATTAGAAATTTTCAATGAATGGTAATTTTAATTAAAACTAAAGAAATACTTCCTCTTGTTCCTATCCAACAGCACTAACTTTCTGT